TTCTAGTATAGCTCTCATCCCACTACTCAGAATGGCACAAAATTTAAAACTTATGAATTGTTTACTTTTGGAATTATCCACATAATATTTTCAGACCATAGTTAGCCAGGTGACTGAAACTGGGTTAAGGAAAACCAGGGATGGAGGGGGCAGTTACCGTATTGGATACAATGAGCCAGGTTGTGTGTGAGATGGCAGTGATGCCAAAATTAAGGTGGAGGTAATGAGAACGGATAAGAAGGAAATAACATGAAGATATTTAAAAGAAAAACTAAATAAGATCTGCTAGTCCAAATAATAGCTAGTTGGAAAAAGATTTTTTAAAATTTGCATTGTGATCTAGAATTAATCTAAGTCATTTATTCAGTTTCCTTGAAAATAATTTTTCCCAGGAAGATGACTTTAATCATGTTCTAACTTTTAAAGAGAATGTATGGCCTGTTATTTTGCTTAATTAGGACTAAACCAATATGGTCACAGTCAGCTAAATCAAACTTTCATAGCGAACAATTTACAGTTTGTGGGGGAGGGCAGTACTGAGCACTAAACTCAAGCCTTGTGCTTGCTACCACCTGAGCCATACCCCAAGCATTTTTTGCCTTGGTTTTATTTTATGCCCAGGCCAGCCTGGACCACAACCCTTCTATTTATGCTTACCATGTATTTGGGATGACAGGCCCACACCACCACATCTAGTCATTGGTTAAAACGGAGTCTCTAGAACTTTTTGCCCAGGCTGGCCTTGAACAGTGATCCAGTAGCCAGAGTAGCTCAGATTATATGCTTGAGTCATCATGCCTGGTCTAATTTATAGCTTTTAACAAACAATTTCTCTGCAACCAACACGTTAACTAATGGGGTTTCCTGCAATGAATATTCTTCATTTTAAAGCTTAAGTCAAAAGTCCCCATACACAACCTTGCAATATTACAGGAAAGTGCTTAGCAACTAACTGAAACCCAAACTACAGATGAGAAGATATAGAATAAGTTCAGATGTAACTTCAATTTATGCTAGGTTGTATATAAATATCATATCGTCTCTCTCTTGAGCTACCTAAAGACTGATTATTAAAACCACTTTTATCTTCTTATGCCCTTAATTGTAAATAGTGGCTTTCTGGTTTCAATTCAATTTTAACAAAAACTGAATTAGAGATAGTTGGGGATCATGTTTAATTCTACACTGAATATGAGGTTTTTAAATATAAAAATGAGAAAGAAACTGGTTGTCTCGCATTCATTCAGTCATTAACTATTCATTGAACAACAACTAGTAGCCAAGAATTATTTTCCTTTTTTTTTTTTTTTTTGGTGGGGAGTTGATTTTCTTTTTTATTTTATCCTTTCTATAAGCAGTTAAAAAAATACAATCAACTCAGGTTTAAGCATCCCACTTTTAAAAATCATCAGAATGCAAAAACAGCCACTGCCCAGGTTTAACTTATATATTTACATTTGGGGTTGACATGGCCATAAAGAAGTACTTAGAAGGCAGTATTACAAAATACACGAAAGTGCTCTTTCTGTTCTTTACATTTCATAAAAAAGCCCTGCTTCATTTCCAAATGAGACACTAGAAAACAAATCACACGAACTGCTTACTATATAATTTATATATAAATTATAATTATAATTTCATATTTAATTTATGAAAAATGCCATCCAGATTAGTGACTACAATGGCTCAGTTTGGGAATTTACATCTATATGGAAGGGATGGTCTGAGCGCCCAGTTGGGCATCTCAACCTGTTCACCACACTGCCGCCCCTTCCCTGGATAAGGCTGGGACCTGCTTGCTGGGGAGAATTGTTATGGGTGAGGGTAAATAGCAGTGGTGTGGATAAAACAGAGGGCTCTAGAAGGCACCTGGGAGGAGAAGGAGCACACCTCTTTCTCCACAGTCACACAAAATCACTGAGCAGTGGGCCTTCAGCTATGCCCTGGTCTCCTCTCCTGAGTAGTCTGGAGGGAGGGTTGGAAATCAAAGCTCATCTGTGGGAGAATGCCATGAGCAGATGATTCCTGAAATTACAGGTGGCAGAGGGAGTGATCTTAGAGGACTTGCGTATCTTACCCCAAAAGTCCCAATAGGGATGGTTTCTATCTGACCACAAGAGTAGCATTAGGCTATAGCCATATGCCTGTCAATTTGTCGATTAGCCTAGTGAAGAACCTGAGGCCCCCTGGCAGATAAACTATCTCCACAAATGGTAACCACTCCCAGATCCTGTCCTCCATCTGCCAAGCTCAGGAACAGCAACTATCTTCCTCCCTCTCATTTTCTAAGTACTAGGAACAAAGCAGTGAGCAAAACAAGGCAGAAATCTCTGCCCTCTGGAGTTCACATTCTAGTAGAGATGAAGGGAGACTGACAATAAACGAGAAAATAAGGAAACATTAGAAGACGTTGGTATTATGAAAGAAATAAGGCAAGGAAGGGAGACAGGGAGTGCCATGTGTGAAGGTACACAGCAACTGCAATTGTAAACAGGATGGTCAGGCGACCTCTCTTTCTCTCTCAGAAGGTGACATTAAGACTTGAAAGAGGTGAGAAAGTGAGAATGTTACCATCTTTCCCTGATAGCAAGTGCAAGCTTTCCAGGCAAGTGCAAAATGTCCTGAAGAAGGAGACTATCTGGCAGGCTCTAGAATACTGTGATCCCAGTCAGTAGCCACCAGCTACATGTGACTCTTTGAATTTTCAGTGAAATTAAAAGTGCAGTTCCTTGATATACACTTGCCATGTTTTAAGTGCCCAGTAGCCGCCAAATGGTACTACGAAATATAGAACCTGTCCATCATCAAAGTTCCATTGATCAGTGTTTCGAGAAAGCCAGTATTGCTGGAGTGGCTTGAGCAAGGGGGAGAGAAATAGATGAGGTCAGTGAGGCTAACTGTGTAGGACTTTGAAAGCCATTGTAGGAATTTTGGTTTTTAATTCTATGTGAAATGGGATGTAATGAGAGTAACTTGATCTGACTTGACATTTAGGAGAATCACTGTGGAGCCGAACATACCTGTAATCCCAGCTACTTGGGAGAAGGAAGTAGGAGGATCCCGGTCTGAGGCTTCAAGAGCCAATATGAAAACCAAACTAAAGCAAAAAAGGGTGGGGATGGGGGAAAGGCATGGCTCAAGTAGTAGAGTGCTTATCTAGCAAGTGTGAGGCCCTGAGTTCAAACTCCAGGAACCACCAAAGGAAGCAGCAGAAGAAAAGAAGCAAAAGGAGGAGATGACAATCGTTCTCACTAGAAGAACCATCCAATTGGCACTATGAGAAGTGAGAGTTCTAAGAAAACAGGCCCTGAATATACAGGAGATTCTTCAACACACATGTGAGAGATGAAACAGGAGTAGAGGCCGAAGAGTGAGGGTGTCAACATTCAAATGTGAGCATTGCCACAGAGCTCAAGAGAAATGATGAAGCTGAGAAACCACCACAAGGCTTGGAAAAGGATTGGTCACTATGCATGCAGCCACCTCTGTAGAGAGGTAAAGGGCAAAGCTAGGTTAAGAACAGAGAAATGGAATGCTACCAAGGCAGGAAAATGAAATAAATTATGGCATGTCTCACTTCTCAAAGGGGGTTCCTAGGTTAATTTGTTCCAATCACATTAGTGTCATTTGTGTTAAACATTGTGGCAAACAACACCTTTTATTGCCACAGGGCAATAAATAAAGCTGGGATGGGGGTGGGGAGGTGGGGGTATAAATGCCTATACTAGGGTGTATTTTCAGTCTTCTGAGACTAGGTAAAAAGTAGGTACTTTTCAAAGTGGTGGTTGGAACCCAAGTCTTTTGTAATAAAGGGGTAATTTTAATTTGCCTGACTACGCTTATTTTCTTTAGGGATCAAAGCCTAGGCCTCACTTATGTTGAGCATTTTGCTTAATTTTTGGAGAAGAAATAGTCTGTCCTGGTACTTTAAAGGGAGGGACAAAGTGAGAAAACACCATACACTAGAAAGGAAGGCTAAGAAGAAAGCTCTGGAGTGGGAATCATGACAGGGAGGAGCTCAGAAACAAGCTGATCTAGACTCAAAAACCTGAAATTCAGAAAGTAACTTTACATATTACCTAGTCCATTGAACACATTAGGTACCAAGATCCAGAGAGGTTAAGTAAACTGCCCCAGATTAAACAGCTAGTTCTATGCAGAACCAGACCTAGAACCCATGGCCCAGGTAAGGGAGGGAGACATTAATTCCCAGTTCACATCACTTTCTGCCTGACAACTCTGCTTGCTGTGTAAACGCAAGTACCCCGTTTAAGGCACACAGGCAGAATGTAAGGCAAACCTACCACTGGGCTTCGTTCTGGGTAGGAGCACTATTACAGAGAGCCAGGATGGGGTAGGGATTAACAATAGTTGAAGAGTGCTTATGGGTCTGATGACAGCATACTGGCCCTGGTAGTGGGCCTCCTGAAATCTGCTTTAATGCCTTATTGCCATGTGACTGCCACACAAACGAAACACACGTTACCAAGTGTCCGTTTCACTGAGTTCTGTAATAAATAACTCCTGAGTGAATGTTTACTTTTAAAAAAAAAAACTTATTCCGATACGATGAGTATCTTGAAAGTGGGAGACTTTCGGAAGGGGAGGGTGAGGAGTGTAGTAAAAGAATAATCTAGAAGCAAACGGTGTGGATTGAGCTGGCCAGGGGTGATGGGAGAAAGAGTAGCAGGCAGGACCAGACTGCGTTTTCCGTTGCTACCCCGCCGGCGTCCTTAGTTACCACCCTGGAGCAGAAGCTTCTCTTTGCTTTGAGCGCCCGCTCCGCACACCGCGCCACCCCAGCGCCGCCAAAGGGCCCCGACGGATTTGTGTCGTTCCTGTCCCCCCCGATCTCGGATTAAGAGTCCCCGTTAGGATCACAAGCGGAAGGCTTTGCAGAGCAGCTTCTCCGACGCCAGCCCCAAGGGTTTCCTAGACCCCAGTCGAGGCTGTGCGTGAAAGTGAGGCAGGGTGAACCCCAGCTCTCCCACCGGACTCACGTTGTAATCCCTCATCCAGGCGTTGAGCTTTTCCTGCAACACCCGTAAAGATTCGTTCGAGACCAGCCTCCTCAGGTTTTCCGCCATCGCTCGCTATTTTGCGCACCCCACTCTGAGAGATGGAGATGTACAAAGGACCAGGCGATGGTGGCCTCCGCACACAGCGTGATGATGGGATGCGAAGGGTGTTATCTTCTTGGGGGGCTCAGAGCACAGCTGGTGTTTCCATCCTCCCCCTCGGGTGGCACCGGGCAGGATTCGGGAAGCCGGGGGGAGGCGCCCTGAGCCGCAGCCGCCGTGCCTCATGCGCTGCCCGGTGCGCTCTCCGGGCTCCCCCACCGCCACAAGAGCCCGGGCCATAAATATCCCGGCGATTATTAAACAAACCTTGACGTGGCAGGCTGCTACCAGGGACGCTCGAGGCCGGCGTCCGGGCAACGCTCCGCCGCCCCGCCCTCCCCGCCCGCGTGCCATGCTGCTGCCCCTGCAGCTGCTCTTCCTCCACCTCCAGCTGCTGCTGCTGCTGGCCCGGGGCGAGGGCGCCAAAACCAGTGGGACGCGGGTTTGGACGGGATGGGGGGGAGGGGCTCGTGCAGGGCGCTGAGGCCCCAGATGGCACCTGCGGGACTCCTGGGTGGACCTAGATGGAGGCCTAGAACCTGGTCCCCAGCTGGGCTCTGGGTACCACGCGCGTGCCAAAAAAAGCGAGAGTTAACCTGGGTGGAAGTCTGGATTAGGTTCTCAGGAAATCGTCTCCCTGGCTCGTACCTCTGTTTCTTTCACCTTTGAGAGAACGCTTCGTTCTTGAAATTTTCGAGAACTAAAATTTCAACTTTTTCCTACTTCCATTTTTGGCTTTGTTCCTTCGCCCACAGGAGGGGCTTCTAAGTCAACAGATTTTAGGAACAGGATGTTCACGAATTAAACTTATTACTTCAGGTTTGGGTAAGATTTGGTGGTGTGTTTGTGTGTATGTTTAGCGTCATTGAATTTCATTTAATTCTATAAAGTTTTATTTAACTCACAAGTTTTTAATTGAAACGTTGTGAACAGTCCTGCCCGGCTTGTCACTATTTCAAGAGTAATTTTCAGCCACAGTGATAGTTTGAAGTACTTACATGAAAACATTTCAACCATCATTAAGCATGTTAGAAGCAAATTTTCTCTCTCTCTCTCTCTCTCTCTCTCGCTCTCTCTTTTTCAGTACTGGAGTTTGAACTCAGGGCCTTGAGTTTGCTAGGCAGGCACACTACCACTTCAGCCACATCTCCAGCCCCTCCCTTGTTTTATATACCATCAAATGATGTGCTAATTACAAATCATCTATTCATTAAAACAGTGGCAGTGCAGCTAGCTAGCTTAACTCTTTTCTTTAGGTACTTGGAAATATATGATCATATATCAGTTACCATAAAATTCAGAATTTGCACCACCTCTTGTTTTTATTTCTTTTAAATGAAGTGATTTTTCTGCCCACTAATTGAATGAAAGACTCATTTCTAGAGCCTGCACTCCTACTATATTCTGTAGGCCACATAATAAGGACTATGAGGGTTCAGCATGTTAATCATAGTAGAATAACAGTTACTAGAGTAAAAGGAAACTATTCACTAAACATCTACTTCCCCCCAAAAAAACCATGCATATTTGAATGTATACATACATATATAATTGAAAGAAGGAAAGGAATGGAGAAAGCCTCATGGATTTCCTAATTTGGAGCCAATAATTGTATATTTCAATAGGTGGTAGGAATCTGAACAGTCCTGTTTACTTGTTTGCTAAATAAATAAATAAACCAGAACAGTTGTTTATGACAAATTAGAAGTTAAGTCCTTTTCCTGGCAGTAGCCACCTTAATCCACCTGTGACACTGGTTTATTCTCCTGTATAAGGGCAATAGTTCTTACATCACAGGACTAAACTGAACTGAATTAAATAAGGTAATTCACATAAAGCACTCAGCACAGTGTTTGGCATATCCTGTAGGAAGGACTCAACAAATCCTATGATTGCTGCTAGGAATGAAGGTCACAGCCTTATATTTAATAAAGAAAACTAGACTGCAAATAATTTAAATGTTCAACATAGAGTAATGGTTGAGTAAATCAGGTAATGAAATATTGTATAGTAAAAGTCTTGTCATCGAAGACTATCTAATATCCAGGAATTCTCACTATATAATGTTAAGTGAAAAAAAGTAGGACTGATTTATATTGTGTTAAATTACATAATATGAATGAACAAAGGTGTGACTATGGGTGATTTTAATTTTCTTCTTTATACTTTTCTGATTTCCTAATTTCTACCATGAATATGAATTGCTTCTAAAACTTATTCAGAAAAGCTAGCAAAAATATCAATATTTAAGTTACTGATTTAAGACAATATGCTCTGATCAAATGTCTGTATCACTAACTTAATAATTAAACTTACAGATTCTGAGGACAGAATGGGTACTTGAAATCACCTTAGGCTATGTTACCCGGTGTTACTTATTTCCACACATCCTCTAGTCCTACATGATTCAACACTTCATGCCCTGTCATTATTTGCACGTGTTGGTATCACTAGAACTCAGACGCATGTGTTATGCATAGCAGGACCTTTGTTTATTACTAACAAAGAAGCATAAACCTTGTACTCAGTGATTCAAAACAAAGGAAAGGTTTCAAGTACTTATTCATTATTTACTCCCACTAATTCCAAAGAAGTATTTGAGATGGTTTACATCTCAAAAAGACTTGTAGAAAAATACCATTGTTAGATTAGGAACTCTCTTGAAAGGAAAAAAGGAGGCCAGACGCCAGCACCTAACCTGCTTGGGAGAAGCTGACCACCATGTGAGCTAAGAGGCATGCGGTACTCCCACAGACAACCCTGGACCAGATCAGCACAGCCCCTGGACAGACCGACTCCTGCCCAGGAAAAAAAACAAACTGAATAATAAACAAGCAGCTGGAGAAAAAAAAAAGACACATAGCAAAGAGGGCAGGGTGTCCTGAGCACTGAAGAGGGGGTTAGGGGCAATCCCTCACAGAACTGTAAATAAGCTGGCCAGAGAAGGCAGGAGCCGCGGCACCCGCCCAGCAACCAAGAGCCGGAAAGCTTGTGAAAAGTGGCGGTGGGAGGAAAACTCCACAGGAGAGGGTGGAAGACCAACTTCCCACGTTAACTGTAAATAAACACGCTGGAGAAGGCAGGTACAGTGCCACCTCCCCCAGTGAGCTTGGAAAGGGGAAAGCTTGTAGCAGTGGTCATTGTGCCCAGGAGAACTCTAAGTAAACAAAGCCTGAAGGGCCAGGTGAGTGTTAAGCTCACTCCTGAGATCTGCATAAATAACGCCTCCAGAAACAGCAGGCTGACAGCAGTGGACAAGTGAGCCACAGCCTCAGATAGCCATTCACAGAACAGTCTCCAGACTCTTTTTTTTTTTCTCTTCCTTTAATAAGACAACAACCTAACTACACCTGCATGCTGAAAAACTTACTGAAATTGTATTGCATCTGAACTTGGGAGACTTTGTTGTGTTTTGGTGGGTTTTTTTGCTTTTTTGGTTTTTTTCCTGTTGATGAGACAACATAACTACTTCTGAGACACCATCTCCAGGATTGGAGGCTAAGGGAACTAACACCAAAATTATTAAGACTGAAACTTCATTGCATTTGAACTTGGAGATTTTTTTTAAATTATTTTATTTATTTTTATTTTTTTCTTCCCCTCTCTGTCCCTCTAATGCCTGTTTAGCTTCCTATAGATTAGTAAACTATCTCTCCCTGTTTATATCTTTGACATGGTTTTTTGTTTGTTTTGTTTTGTTTACTTGTCTGTTTATTTGTTTTTCCCTTTTTCTTTACCCTCTTTGCTTTCCCTCTCCTCTCACCCTTCCATTCTAAATATCACCATTGTTATTATTACAAGCTAGAAAATACTTAATTGCACACAGTACAGGGACATTAACAATACCAAGGGCAATGATGGGAAGACAGAAAAAACAGGGAAACCAGTTTCCCCACAGCAAGAAATTAGTGCAGGAACCAGAGGGAAATGAAGAAAACAGATACTCAATCCAGATTCCAACAAAACGAAGAAAAACTATGCCAAAGAACCCAATGAAGCCCACAAGAATAATTTGAAAGATGAAATCCTCTAAGTAATCAATGAGAATTTTATAGAGATGATACTGGATATGGTCAACCAAAATGTACAGGAGACACTCAAGAAATTCCAAGACAACAAAAATAGAGAATTTGAGAAAGCACAAGAAGAAATAAAAGAAACCACAGAAGCACTGTATAAACACCAAAGTGAAACAAAGAACACGAATAATAAAGAGACAAATGAACTCAGGACAAAAATAGACAACATTAAGGAGGAAACAACTCAGGATATGGAAAACCTCAGAAAAAAGAACGAAAAAGAAATGCAAAACAAAATGGAGGGCCAATCCAGCAGACTAGAACAAGCAGAAGACAGAATCTCAGAACTCGAAGATGAAATGGTAATTAAAGGAAAAACCAAAGAACTATTAGTTAAACAACTCAAGACCTGTGAAAAGAAAATGCAAAAGCTCACTGATTCCATCAAAAGACCAAACCTGAGAATCATGGGCATTGAAGAAGGAGAAGAGATGCAAGCAAAGGGAATGTGTAATATATTCAACAAAATAATTACAGAAAATTTCCCAAATCTAGAAAAATCTATGCCCATACAGGTGCAAGAGGCCTCCAGAACAACAAACAGACCAGACCAAAGTAGAACTACCCAACAGCATATTATCATTAAAACAACAAGTACAGAGACTCAAGAAAGAATATTGAAGGCTGTAAGAGAGAAAAAACAAGTAACATACAAAGGTAAACCCATCAAAATCACAGCAGACTTCTCAACAGAAACATTAAAAGCAAGAAGAGCGTGGGGTGAGATCTTCTGGGCACTGAATGAAAATAACTTCAACCCTAGGATACTCTACCCAGCAAAACTATCATTCAAAATAGATGGAGCAATAAAAGTCTTCCATGATAAGCAGAAACTAAAACAATATGTGACCACAAAGCCACCACTACAAAAGATTCTTCAAGGGATTCTGCACACAGAAAGTGAAACCCAACATAACCATGAAAGGGCAGGCAGAACCAAA